ACATTAACTCTGATTTCTATCCACAGATGCTGCCAGACCTGCTGAGCCTTTCCAGCAATTTCTGTTTTTGTTAATAATTTTATTTTGACCCTGTCGCTGATATTCTGTTAATTTCTTTGGGACTTCTGGCAAGCTATCCTCCTTTTCTGCTGCGAATACTGAAGTAAAGTAATCATTCAGCATATCTACCATTTTCCCATGGTCATTGACAATGTTACTACACTCAGCCTTCAGTGGACTAGTAGTACTCTTTACCAAGACACAAATTGCTGGAGAAACTCAGTAGGTCTGGCAGAGTATGTGGGAAGAAAGCAGAGTTAACTTTTCAAGTTCAGTGACTATTCATCAGAACTGTACTCTTAACCAGCTGCTTTCCCTTTATATAACTATAAAATCTCCTCGTTTTTTTTACATCCCTTGCAAGTTTCCTTTCATTTATAGCTGCTCTTATAAGCCACTTTGAGGCGCTTTCTTGGTCTTTGTATTTGTCCCATTCAATGGGACCTGTATTGTTACATGTGGTTTTATGAGCCCTTTCTTTAATTTTATGCTGTCTCTTAACTCAGATGACCACGGCTGTTCTTTTTGTGTGAGGTAGAGCTTTTCCTTCTCATGGGTACAAACGGCTTCTGAAGACCATTAAATGCTTCATTGGGCAACCTCCACTGTTCCTTTGTTATTTTAGCTATTAGCAGAGCTTTCCAGTTTAGTCCGGACAGTTTCTACCTCATTGTGTTAAAGTCTGCCTTACTTAAATCCAAAATTCTAGTATCCAAATTTTGCTTGTCTCTTACAAATGCTACGTGAAACTCAGTCATGACATGATTATTATTTGACAAATAATGAATGAGTAGGTCACTAAATTGGACTCATTGCTCCCATTGTCACATCCGAGATACATTGTCGTAGGAAACAATCCCCGACACACTCTAGAAATTCACAACCTTTCTGGTAGGTACTTGTCTATCTCCTCAAGTCTATGTTAAGATTAAAATGTCCCATTTAATACTGCTCTGCTTTTTCTACATAATTGCCTAAATTCAGTACTTATTCAATCTAACACCTCTGAGCTGCTACCAGGTGGTCTGTAAATACTACCTATTGTGGTTTTAGTTCCTTTACTGTTCCTTAATTCCACCTGTAAGGTCTCCACAGGATTGTTTCCCCCCGTTACATCCTCACTCACTGTAGAAGTGATTCTGTTTCTGATCATTAATGCTACTCTGCCCGCTCTTCGGTTTCCTATATCCCTCCCTGTAAACCTTATAACCTGGTAAGTTTGAATTCCAGTCCTGATCATCAAGCAGCCACGCCTCTGTAATGGCTACTGTATCAGAGTTTCCAATTTGAACGTGTGCCAGAAGCTCACTTAATTTGTTCCTTCTGCTCCGTGCATTTGTATAAAGAGCTCTAATTTTGGCTATACACTCTATCCTATCCTTCACTTTTTATTATTTCTTCCTTCTGGCTGACTGAATAAACTTTTTATAGTCCTGCCTTGTTCTTTAAACTGATCCTGCTTGTTCGTCCTACGAACCTCTACCTGCCCCCTCCATATCCTGACTGGTTCCCATCTCCCTGCCGTGCTAGTTTCAACCCTTCCAAGTGGTACCAGCAAAACTCCCCACAAGTATATTGGTGCCCCTCCAGTTTAAGTGCAACAGTCCTTTTTGTGCAGGTCCCACTGCCCTGGAAGGATCCCAATGATCCACATATGAGCCCCTTTCTCCAATACCACTTCTTTAGACATGTATTCAGCTATACTATCTTCCTATTTCTGGCCTCACTATCATGTGGTCTGGGTGATAATTTCAGAACTATAACTCTAGAGATCCTGCATTTTAACTTCGTCAATTGCTTTTGCAGGACCCGATCTCTGTCCCCACCTGTGTCCTTACTTCCGATATAGATCACAATCTCTGGCTGTTCACCTTCCCCTTTCAGTGTGTCCTGTGCCTGCTCAGAAACATCCTTGACCGTGGCACCAGGAAGGCAACACGCGATCCTGGAGTCTCACTTGCAGCCTAAGAAACACCAATGTGTCCCTGATTAGAGTCCCTGACTATCACGACTTGCCTGCACTTTGACCCTCCCTGTTGTACTACAGAGCTAGCTGTGGTGCCACTGCTCTGGTTGCTGCTGTTGCCATCCCCTGACAGGTGAATCCCACCCACCCCACCCCCCCCTTCCTCCCGACACGCACAGACACGCGCGTTTGAGAGCGATTAGTCACAGGAGATTCCTGTACTGACCGCTTGGCCCTCCTAGCAGCCATTCATCCATGTGCCTCAAATTTAAGTGTGGCCACGTCTCTGAAACTCCTATCAATGACGCTTTTCACTGGCTGCATACTTCTAAGTGTGTCTGACTGCTGCTCCAACCAATCCGTGTGATCCATGAGAAGCTGCAGGGGACACGCTTCCTGCCGATGTAGTTTTCAGAGTTGTACAGCGCAGGAGCAGGCCCTTTGGTCCATGATATTGTGCCAAACATGACGCTAAATAAAACTAATCCCTCCAGCCTGCCCTTGGTCCATATCCCTCCATTTTTGCATATTAATGTGCTTATCTAAAAGTCCCTTAAATGCTGCTATCATATCTGCTTCCACCACCACTCCTGGCAGCATGTTCCAGACTCCTACCAGTCTCTGTGTTTAAAAAAAAACTTGCCTGTCAAGTCTCCCTTCAGCCTCCACCGCTCAAGAGAAAACAACCTGGGTTTTTCTACTTTTTCCTTATAGCTCATACCCTCTAATCCAGGCAGCATCCTGGTAAACCTCTTCTTCACCCCCTCCAAAGCCTCCACATCCATCCTGTAATGTGGTGACCAGAATTGAACGCAGTGCTCTGTGTGGCCTAACCAAAGTCTTATAAAGTCGTAACGTAACATCCTGACTCTTGTACTTGATTTCCCAACCAATAAAGGCAATACACCTTCTTTACCACCCTATCTATTTGTGTGGTTACTTTCAGGGAGCTATGGACTTGAGCCCTAGAATCCCTCTGAACATCAATGCTGTTCAGGGTCCTGCCATTAGCTGTATACTTTTCCTTAATATTTGAACTACGCAAAGTGCAGCACCTCAGACCTACCCAGATTAAACTACATCTGCCATTTGTCCACTCATATCTGCGACTGATCTATATCCCGCTCTATCCTTTCACAACCTTCTACATTATCGACAACTCCACTGAACTTCGTATCGTCTGCAAGCTTACTAAACCCCCCTCTAAGTTTTCATTTAAGTCATTTATATATATCACAAATAGAAAGGGTTCCAGAACTGATCCCTGCGGAACACCACTAGTCACTAACGTCTAGCCTGAAAAACACCCTTCCACCAATACCCTCTGTCTTCTATGGGTAAGCCAATTCTGAATCCATACAGCTGAGTTGCAGTGGATTTTAATCTTCTGGATGAGCTTAGCATGAGGGATCTTGTCAAAAGCCTTACTCATGTCCATGTAAACAACATCCACTGCTCTACCCTCACTGATCACCTTTGTCACCTTCTCAAAAAATTCAGTCAAGTTAGTAAAACCTGACCTGTCCTGCACAAAGCCATGCTGACTGTCTCCAATTAGGCCATGCTTTTCCGGATGTGCGCAAATTGTATTCTTAAGAATTCTCTCCAGTTGTTCCCAACTCTGTGTGAGACTCATCAGTCTGTAGTTTCCTGGATTATCCCTATTTGCCCTCTTGAACAGAGGAACAATATTAGCTACTCGCCAGTTCTCCCGGACCCCTCCAGTGGCTAGTGAGGATACAAGATCTTGGTCAAGGCCCCAGCAATCTCCCATCTTGCCTCTCAATAACCTGGGGTAGATACCAATAGGTCCTGGGGACTTACTCACCTCAATGCTCTCCAAGAGATCCAACGCCACTTCTTTCTTGATCTCACAATGCCCTAGCATATTAGCAGCATGCTCCACATAAATCTCACTATCCTCCATATCCTTCTAAAATACTCATTTAGGATCTCCCCCACATCCTCTGCCTCCGAGCACAAGGTCCCTCCTTTATCCTTGAGTGATCCTTCCTTCTCCCTAGTTATCCTCTTGTTTTTAATGTAGGAATAGAATAACTTACGATTCTCTTTTTCCTACTTGCCAAGGATGTTTCATGGCCCCTTTTTTGCTTTCCTAATTCCCTGCTTGAGTACTTGCCTGCTTTTCTTGTATTCCTCACCAGCCCTGTCTGACTTTCGCTTCCTAAACTTTAAGTATGCTTCTTTTTGCCTTTTGACTAAATTCACAACCTTCCCTGTTATCCAAGTGTCCCTTACCTTGCCATCCTTGTCTTTCCTCCTTACTGGAACAAGCTAGTATTGAACTCTCATCAGCATGTCTTTAAACAGTTCCCACATTTCAAATGAGGACTTGCCTGATAACAGCTTCTCCCGATTAACACTCCCTAGCTCCTGCCTAATACTGATGTAATTTGCTCTCCTCCAATTTAGCACCTTCCCCCAAGGTCCTGACTTATCGTTGTTCATAGCAATCTTAAAACTTAAGGAATTGTGATCACTGTTTCCACAATGCTCTCCCACTGAAAGATCAGTCACCTGGCCAGGTTCATTACCTAATACAATGTCCAGTATGGCCCGTCCTGTAGTTGGACTATTCACATACTGTTTCAAGAAACCCTCTTGGATGCACTTAACAAATTCTGCCCTGTCTAAGCCTCTTGCTGTAAGGGAGCCCCAGTAAATATTGGGGAAGTTAAAGTCATCCACTATGACAACTGCTTTTATTGTCCCTTTCTATTATCTGCCTACATATTTGTTCCTCAATGTCTCGGTGGCTGTTGGGGGCCTACGGTATAATCCTACTAGTGATTGCACCCATCTTATTTTTGAGCTCTATCCATATTGGCTCAGTGGATGAACCCTCCAGTATGTCCTCTCTGAGTGCAGATATAACATTCTCCCTAATTGGTAATGCAGCTACTCCACCTCTTTTACCTTCCTCTCCTCTAAAACAACAAAACCCTGGAATGTC